ATAGCTAAAGGGTGGATGGATAACGGGTAGATGGTTGATGGGTTGATAATGGATGGATGATGGTGGACAGATAGATAAGAATAGTTAGTGATCAAGTCTCTCCATTGATTTTACCTTTTCACTACCAAATTACTTTCTTTTATTTACAAGACATAATTTATTCATTTTTGCTAATAGAATGCATGTTGAATCATTGAGTGTTTTAAAACATTTGCCAGGTACGATAGATTTTGAGAAATACTATGTGGGACACATATGTCCCAATGGACTCTAGTGGTAGGATAGATGGGAAGAGGCATGGGAAAAAGATGCACTTGAACATGACCTACTCCTGAACACTGTAACTTTCCAAGAACACAGAGGAAACAGTTACTATCCTTACATGCCTCATCTCATTGTACAGATGCCCAAAGAGACAAAAGTTTTCATCATCTCTCCTCCAAGATGCACCACCTCATACAATAAGGAATTCCTTCAGTTTTACACAGTCCCCACCTCGATGCTCATATGTATTGTACATAGGGGGCAGGGAAGCCTTCTGAGAAACCCCATTGGTGGAGAATGTAAGTGGTATTTATAGGGACCACAGATTAGGAAAGAGTGTGAAAGCTTTTATCAGTCATTTCATTCCTCAGAAGTGATATGGTCTTGGGGTGAGGGTTCAGTCCCTGGAGTCAGGCAGAGGTAGGTTTGGATCCTGAGTCTACCAGAGCCTGCTTATGGATAAAGGACTTAACCTCTGTGAGTCATTGTTTCTTCTTGTGCAAAAGAAAGCCCATGCTATGGCTGGCTGAAGCTGAGGTGAGATAATGGGGTAATTAGTGCCATGCCTGGTACATAAAGCACACACTAAAGATCGCTTTCACTGGTCATTTCATCAAATATCACTTGAGGTCTATGATGTGTTGCCTGCCTAAAGGGCTACAGAAAGCTGGCCTCAGAGCTATCTGAGCTTTGCAAATGGCATTATATTCTTTTAAGGAGCAAATAGTCATGCTAAGAGATCCAAAATAGCAGGATGGCCTGGGTGTCCCTGGAAGGGGACAAAAGGGAGTAAAGCAATGTATTGATGAGAGAGACCCAGAAAGGAGGTCTGAAGAGCCCAGGAGTGCTCTTCATACTGTGTGTCCCCAGAAAACCCTTTATTTGGAAAGCTTCTGCAACCAGACACACAGTGTTTATGATGAAATTGCCTGAGCACTCAAATCAAGGGCAAAGGCAAACTTTCCGTTGGGCCTTTTGAAACTTCAATTGTAGCTTGGGAGTCTCTACTGCAGTCTTTGAGGGACCCCAGGGCAGGGTTCTGGAGCATCACAGAGGAAGAGAATCTCCCTAGGGGCCTGTTAGAAGCAGGTTCCCAGCTCCATTCTCCAAGCTTCTGCTTTAGTAGGTCTACCTTGGGACCTCAAATCTGCAGACCTATCCAAACTCCCAAGTGATTCTGGTGCAGGTGTCCTTGGGCTCATCTTGAGAAATGCTCGCCTCCTCTTGGACCACCAGAGTGACCTGATGGGTGGGATGAGAAGCTAGAACAGTGGGGGCGGGAAGGGAAAGAAAGCAGTTGAGAAGCTCTCACCCCACACCTGGAGAGCTACATGGGTTCAGGGCTCCCCCTCCTAACCCTGGAGTTGAGGTGGGATTGGGGATGGAGGATTAATGGGCAGAGTTGGTAAGGCATCCTACGAAGATTTGAGTACTTCAGTCTGGGAAGGGGAAGGCAAAATGGGAAAGGCCAGGGGCCGCAGGGAGGGTCCATAGCTAAAAAGGAACCTGGCTCCACTTACTAAACCCAGAGCTCCAGACCATGCCCCGTTAGAGACAGGGCAACCTCTCCCTCAGCAAGGGCAAGCTGAGTCTTTTTCTGTCTCCCTTCGGATTTAGGTTGTTTCATAGAGAAGAGTCACACAGATTCCTTAGAAGGCTAGGTAGGACTCATTCATTCATTAGGAATATTTGTTGAGGACATAAAAAAAACCCCAAAAATGTCTGTTCTGACTCGTGGTGACCCCAAGTGTTCGGAGTAACATTGTGCCCCACAGAGTATTCAAGGTTGTGTTCTTTTGGAAGCAGATCCCTAGGCCTGTCCTCCAAGACACCTCTAGGAAGGTTTGAACTGCCAATCTTTCAGTTATCAATCAAGTGCTTAACTGTTTGCACCACCTGGCACTTCACTGAGGACACAGAGGTGAACACAACCAGTCCCTCCCTATCCTCATGGTACAAGACTGGGGCCCCAACTTCAGCCCGTGGGAGAAAGTTTTAGGCAGGTCCCTGAAAATGATTTCTCAGTGCCCAGAAAGTGGTAGGGAATGAGGGGAGAGGAGGAAATAAACATATGTTGCGTGTCTGCCGTGGAGTCCTGGTGTGGTGCTGTGGGATAAGGCATTAGACCACAATGTTGGGTTAAACCCCAAGGTCGGAGGTTCAAACTCACCAGCTGCTTTTGACTCGATGGTACTTAACAACCCATGTCTGCTACTTGCTCATGTGCTGAGCCAAACTTTTAAGAATGCAATATTTATAATAATAATAATGATGATAATGATCACAGTTAACATTTATGGAGTTTTGCTTTGTGTCAGTTTCCATTCTAAGTACTTTGCATTCATTAGCCATTGAATCCTCCCACCAAGTCCATGAGGTGGGTATAGTTATTAACCCATGCTACTAGTCCTGGTGTGGCACTGTAGGATAAGCACTGAACTGCAAGGTTGGTGGTTCAAATCTACTAGTCTCTCCTTGGAAACCCCATACAGCAGGGGTGGAGAATCTTTCCACTGCCAAAATTATTTGTGGGTCACATAAAATGATCAACTTAAAAAATCAGCCCGCAATATTTGGTCAAACATTTAATTAACTCACCCCTAATGTGATGGCCAAACTTCGTCTCTCATACTTTGGACATGTTGTCAGGAGGGACAAGTTGCTAGAGAAGGATATCATGTTTGGTAAGGTGATGGGTCAGAGAAAAAGAGGAAGACCCCCAGTGAGATGGACTGGCAAAGTGGCAGCATCAATGGGCTCAAGTGTGGCAACAATTGTGAGGTTGGCCTAGGATTGGGCAGTGTTTCATTCTGCTGTGCATAGGGTCACTATGAGTCGATGGCACCTAACAACAATAACAATGTGGTGGCTGGACCTCCGGTTGCCTTGGCAGAGCCAGAGCCCGTGGGCCAGGTATTCTTGAATCCCGCTACATAGGGTTGCTCTGAGTTGGAACCAACTTGATAGCAGTTAACAACAACAACAATCTTTGTAGACTTCTGGTATGGCACTGTAGGATCTCCACTGGACTGTGAATCACAAGCTTGGCAGTTCAAACCCCCCAGTTGCTCTTTGGAAACCCTACATTGGGTCGTTATGAGTCAGAACTGACTTGATAACACTTAACAAAAACAACAACAGATGAGGAAACTGAGGTCTAAAGAATTGCCTGGTGTCACACAGTGGCAAATGGCAGAACAAGGATTTGGGCCCAACTCTGACATGCTGCACAATCTTCCCTCTATGCCCTGTGCTCAGGGGTGGGAGTCTGCGCTGCCTGGATCATGGGGCCAAATGATTTCATGCACAGTTAAATCCCTGACTTTCAGAGGAGGCTGAGGGACAGAAAATGTCTTGTCCAGGAGCACAATACAAATCCACCACAGAACCAGGATTAGAGCATGAGTCCTTTGATATTCAGTCCAGAGCTAAAATTGTGCTTAATTTCTTAGAAGTGTTTCAGTGAGTATGTGTTTGTGAGAGAGACAGGCGGGAGGCAGAAAGGAAGATACCCCACACACATTCATATACTTCCCTCAGACTCTCTCTCACACACACACACACATACCCCAGACTCTCACACATTCATATACACACACACACACACACACTCATATACCCAACTTTCACACACTCCTATACACACACACATACCCTCACACACACACACACACATCCCACATACAATCCCATAGATACACTCACACACACGGGCCGCCGAGTCGATTTGGACTCAGGGTGGACCATGTGGCAGAGCAGGGCTACTCATAGGGCTTTCTTGGCTGCCATCTTTACAGATCAGATCAATAGGTCTTTTTTCCACAGAGCCACTGGGTGGGTTTGAACTGCCAACCTTTTGGTTAGCAGTCAAGCACTAAACCATCGTACCACCAGACTCCTTGGTCCTGTGCTATGCTGTTGTTGTAGTTGTTGTTGCTAAGTGCCATCGAGTTGGTTCCATACCATAGTGACCCTTTATAGGGTTTCCAAGGAGCAGCTGGTGAGCTTGAACCTCCAACGTTGCCAAATGCAGTTCCAGTGCATTAACCCACAGTGCCACACCAAGACTCCTGTGTTAAGCTAGGACTTTCTAAAACATAGACTCATTGTTCCTAAAACATCAACCATTATCCACATTTTACAGGTGAGGGGACTGCGGCCAGAGAGGCCCAGATGTGTATGTACCTTGAGGTCACCCAATAAGTCAATGGCGGAGCCAGGATTCAGATTCTTTGGCTCAAAAGTGTGCATTCTGTGGCCACAGAAGCAGGACAGAATGGTTGCGATCAGACCTTGGGCCTGTACTCTTGGGCATGTGATGCAGACTCTCCAAGTCTCATTGTCCTCATCTGTCAAATGAAGATAGTGAACACAGGAGTCCCTGGGTGGTATAAAGAAAGGGTTAAGGGTTCAATTACCAGCCAAAAAGTTAGTGGCTGGAACTTGCCCAGAGGTACCTAGGAAGACAAGCCTGGCGATCTGCTTCTAAAAGGTCACAGCCTTAAAAACCCTGTGGGTCAGTTGTATTCTGCAGACATGGGGTCACCGTGAGTTAGAATCCACTGGATGACATCTGACAACGGAATACCAGTGGGTGGTGTGCCTTCAACATTGACCCCAGCTGGGCACACGGAGGCCGGGTGCTCTGGTTCTGTGTGTGTTTCTGTTTGATGGGAACCGACTCCTGGTTCTGTGTGCATTTCTGTTTGATGGGAACCTTCTCCTGCCCTCCATAGACCATTACTGGGATTTCCACCCTCACCATGTGCACAGCGAGTTTGAGAGCTTTGCCGAGAACCATTTCACTGAGCTGCAGAGTGTACAGCCCCCACAGCTGCAGCAGCTCTACCGCCACATGGAGCTTGAGCAGATGCACGTCCTCGACACCCCCATGGTGCCTCCCCACACAGGCCTCGGACACCAGGTGCGTGCCCCCATCCCTGTGGTGAGGCCTAGAGCTTCACAGGAAGCTGACACAGCCTCTTACTCAACCCGGCTTCCTGCCCCACAGCGCCAACGGCGGCCGGAGCCCCAACGGCTCCTCCTGACCCTCTGACTGACCTCCTGACCCCTCACCCTTATCTCTTCACACTTCGTGGGCAGACAGACCCCAGATAATTCCCGCACTGGTCTCACTTACATCTGACTCTCTGGTTGCTGGCCTCCATCGGCTCGTCACTCTCCCCACTGACCCCACCTCCCAATCAGTGATCTCTGATGACCTCCATGTCCCTCACTGGCCTCCATGGCCTCTTCATGGACTTATCACCTTATTCACTCTCAGATCCCACTCACTGGCCACTCAGCATGCCCACGCCTGATCCCAGGCCTACCTTTGGCCTTTGTGCTTATGAGAAAAAGGTGCCTCTCACAGGCCATGCAGCCCTCAGCCAGGGGGCCCAGCAACTGGTACCCCCCAGCTCAGAGTCCTTGTGCAGGTAACCCTGACTGACCCCCACTTTCCCAGCCTCCTCCTAACCTTTCTGCCTCACCCAACAGCTTCCATTGACTTAACTCCCTTTTCTGCACCTGCCCAGGTCTACCTGCCCCGGATGTGCCCCCCATACCCCTCCCTGTCCCCACCTCAGCCCAGCTCGGATGAGGAGGAGGGCGAACGACAGAGTCCTCCACTGGAGGTGTCGGATGGAGAGGCCGATGGCCTGGAGCCAGGGCCTGGCCTCTTGCACGGAGAGACAGGTAGGGGCCCAGTCCTGACCCACCCTGCCCCATCACACCCAGCCAAGGCTGAGGGACCCAGTCATGCACACAGTGTGTGTGTGTGTGTTGTGTCTCTTTGCTGTGAGTGTAAGTATATGAGCCTGTGGAGTGTATGTGTGTGTGAGTGTATGTGTGTGTCTCTGTGCTGTGTGTGTATGTCTGGCACTGTGTCTGGGTGTATTTGAGTATGTCTGTCTCTGTACTGTGTAGTTATCTCTGGAGTTGTGAGTATGTGTTTGTGCATTCCACTGTGCTGTGTGTACATGTGTCCTTAGCCCGGGGGCGCAGTTTCCCCAGACCCTGCTATCCCCAGATTCTCCCACACCCCGCTCGAAGAGGGGGTCCCTCTGGAGGGCCTGCCCCCTCCCACCTACCTTGGCCCCTCCCTCACAGGCAGCAAGAAGAAAATCCGTCTGTACCAGTTCCTGTTGGACCTGCTCCGCAGCGGCGACATGAAGGACAGCATTTGGTGGGTGGACAAGGACAAGGGCACCTTCCAGTTCTCGTCCAAGCACAAGGAGGCGCTAGCGCACCGCTGGGGTATCCAGAAAGGTAACCGCAAGAAGATGACCTACCAGAAGATGGCCCGCGCGCTGCGCAACTATGGCAAGACGGGCGAGGTGAAGAAGGTCAAGAAGAAGCTCACTTACCAGTTCAGCGGGGAGGTGCTGGGCCGCGGGGGCCTGGCCGAGCGGCGCCCCCTGCCCCACTGAACTCGCTGCCGGGCCGCGAACCCGCCAGGCCTCCGCGCCGGCCATAGCATTAACCCCTCGCCCGGCCGGACACAGGGAGGGACGCGCCCAGGCCCCTAGGCTGGACTGTGGCGGGCCAGGTCTCGCCTCCCCGACTCCTCCCCACCATCAGCCCCTTCCCAGACCCACGCTTCGCCTCCCACCCGGACTGCAGTCCTGCTCCTGAAAGCCACGAGCTCCTGACGGAGAAGGGTCAGCCTTGCTTAGTACAATCAGTCGTACTTCGGGAGTTCCAAGTCATCATCCTATGTAAATTGAAGCCTCCTCTGAGCATAAACCCCCTTCCTCCATTTACCCATCCCCACCCTTTCCCCCCAACCAGGAACTGAGCGATTAAAGTTATTCTCAGCGAACCTTCTTGCAGTACATATAGTCTTTTTATTAAAAAGTATAACCTTGTCCCAAGGTGCACCTCATCTGGGTCCCGGAGTCCTGGTTGCAGGATAATGCACTGGGCAGAAAGGTGGGCAGTTCTAACTTCCCAGCTGCTACTTGGAAAACCTTTACAGGGTTGCTGAGTGAGAACCTACCTGACAGCACTTAACAACACCGTAATATCTGGGTCCTGGGTGAGATGATTTTTGTCATCTGTGTTAAGGGCCACAAGGTCAGTTTGAGCTGTAAGTTTGGCAGTTCAAACCCACCAGCTTCTCTTCGACAACCCAATGCAGAGTCACTATGTGTCAGAAGTGACTTGAAGGCACTTAACAACAAAAACAATGACTGGTGCCAGACCCTGGGCGCCTAAGGACAAATGGCACACAGCACCTGACCCAGAGGTAGAGTCTAGCACAAAGAACACATTCTCAATATTTATTAGGGAAATAAATTCTGTTAAAAAGCTCTCTGCACTTGATCATTTTCTAAAGCCTCAGTGGGGTTTGACTGCATCTTCTTTAAATTGCACTTCCAATGATAATGATAATAATAGCAATGCCTCTGACTTTTCTGGTCTTTTATTATATGCCAGTCTTGACAAGTGAAGTCTTACCACCGTCTCACTTTATGGACTGGGAAACTGAGGCTTGTAGATGAAGAAGAATTTGTCCAATATCAGACAGCTGGGCTGGATCCCAATCCTGGCCTGTTGCCCTGTTAGTGGGCCACCCCCTAAGACAGGAAGATTCACTTGCCAGCCTTCCCTTAGCTGGAGCGGGGCATTCTTGGCTTGCTGAAGCTCAGAAATAAAGTACCCAAGGACTCCAGTTGGCAACAAAGCATTCTCACAAAACCAATGCCTGAGCAGATGGTTGTTACTGTTGTTAAGTGTTGTCGAGTCAGTTCTAACTCACAATGAGCCTGCATAGAGTTTCCAAGGAGCGTCTGGTGGGTTTCAACCACCCACCTCATTTGTACTACAGCGCCATACCAGGACACCGGCAAATCCCTCGTGTGTAGTCTCAGAAAGTCTTGTCACACTCACATGAATGTTGACACATTTGCTGACATGTTTGCCCACCATCCTTCGCAACACAGATACCCATTGTTTTTTTCCCCATTTTAACCTACCTGATGCTATTGTGTGTGAGTACATGTGTGTTACACACTAAAGTGTTGAGGCACTGTAGTCATATATGCTCTCATGGTTGTTGTTGTTAACTGCCGTTGAGTCGGTTCCGACCCATAGTAACCCTGTATAAGGTTTCCTAGGAGCAGCTGGTGAGCTTGAACCACCGATTTTGCAGTTCAAACAGCTTTGCAGTGTGGCGCATTCACTCACAAAACCACACCAGGACATGCTTTCACGCTTGTGCACATTTCCTTGTGTGTGTGCTCATACATTTGCTCTCATGCATGTTCACACCCATGTTTACACATCAGCCCACATGTGTGCTCAAACATATGTGCTCACACATCTGCTCTCAGATTCTCAGCCCACCACAGGGAGAAACAGTCAAAGAGGAGCCAGAAAGCCTGGAAGCCTCTAGTAAGGGCAGCCTGCAGAGACCCTGCTGAGAGCTGAGCTGGGCTGGTTACTTAGGGAAGGGCTCTTCTGCATGATCATGGTTGCTCCCTTCCCCCACCTGGGAACCTCAAGAAAGATGGAATGATGTCCAGACACACAGGTGGACTAAACCGGGAGAGGGCTGGGTTTCAGCGTCACCTTCTGGGAAGTGCAGGACCATTGGAGCTACTGGTCTGGCTGGGAGGGGTTACATGGATGTCCTTGAAGTGACAGAACAGGGAGGGACTGTCACAAGGACCAAGGTCACAGCGGAATGAGGGGATTCAAGATATCTGGTATGAATCTCACGGATTTTTGCACTTTGGGGTGGATTTAGAGATTCACCCTCAGGGCTTCACTGTGGGCTCATGCTTCCCCTTGGGCAATGCTAACCCCTACTGTTGCCCCTCCCCACTTGGCCCTGGAAAAAAATGGACCCAGGATTCCACAGCCTGAGACCAGCTGTTTCCTTTATGCCAGGCACAATTCTAAGCATTTTTGTTTGTAAACTCCCTTACACAAATGTGTAACAACCCTATGCAGTCAGTATGGCTATCAGCAGTCCCACTTGACAGATGAGAAAACTGAGGGCCTGCAAATAGTGGAGCCAGAACTCAGCGGCAGCCTCATCCCGGGTCTGTGTGAGTGACCACCGTTCCACACAGCCCTGCCCACTGCATGGTCCCTATGACCCTGCAGAGCCCCTTACTGCCCCTCATGGACCTTCCCGGCTCTCAGTGCCCAGGAAAGTTCTTTTAATCCATCATCCTCAAGGATAAGACCCTGCACTTTACCACCACGCAAGTTGCCTCTTTGACAGACATACAGACATGGCTTGGGGACCCTGAGGTTCACAGAGGATTGGGGGACAGAAACTATCATATTTGTGTTGGATGGGGGAGGGACAAGGGCAGTCAGGAACAATGTGACCCTCACCTTCTTCCCACAGAGAGACCTCAGCTCCCTGGAATTTGTCTATATTTAGTGGCTGAGCAGGAGGAGGCAGATAAGGAGGGCCTGGTGAGGGGGAGGGGCCCTTATATAGTGTGGGGGGCCCATCCGCACTCAATCCCTCAGACAGTGTTTGCTCTGTGGGTGCCTGGTGTGACCGCTCTGCTCTCAAGATGCCGGAACCTGGGAAGAAGCCAGGTAGCTCCAGGTTTGGGGTGGGCTGAGTGTCAGGGTCCGGAGGGCTTGGGGGGCATCCTGCTTGGGAAGTGGCATAGGAGATAGTGAGGATGAGGCAACAGTCCCAGGACAGAGCGAGGGTCTCCTTGGTCCTGTCGTGATTCTCAACTTCTCCTTCCTCATCCTACTGTTAAGAATAAGGGTAAATCCAGGGTCTGGGACAGAGAGAGGAGAGAGTTGGGGTAGGATACCCCAGGGCCATCACCTACTCCCAGAGCCCCTAGAGAGCCGTTCCTGTTCCCTGCCCTCCTCCTTCTGCAGCAAGGTTGTACTTGGGCTGGCTTTCTGGGAAAAGGTCACTGCAGGTGGAGTTAAGTCTAGACTTGAGCCAGGCTTGACAGATGCTCTTAAACAAGTCTCTGTGCTCTCAGAGTCTCAATTTCCCTGTCTGTACAAGGAGGGGATGGACCCAATGCCCCTGAAGTCAGTCCTTCTGGGTCTGATTTCCCTGCTCTGTTATCTGAAGCCCATACCAGGCATGGCTCTCAGGTTGAGGGTCCTGCAGCCTGTCTGCTCTGGGGATGGACAATCAACAGGCACAGAGCTCAAGCCAAGGGCAGAGGACATCTCATCTGGCCCAAGATCCCAGTCCTGGCCTATGTTCTTACCCAAGTTGCCCAGAGCAGGAATCCTACCCCTCCTAGCCCCCCTCTCTGGCTAGTTTTATCTCAGTTGCTGATTCTCAGCCTGAGGCCCTTGGAGGACAAATTTAGCCACATTCCAAGTAGGCTGGGTACCCGCCCCCCTACCAAAGGCCCCAGATCAGTGGGGCGAGGGAGGTCAGGGCTCATCACCAAGAAGGCAGGTATGGGGAATACACACAGCAATAGGTTCAGGTAGAGGCTCTCCCACCTGGTGGCTGTGTGATCTTGGACAAGTCACTTAGCCTTCCTGAGCCTCAGTGTCTGCATCTGAGACATGGACTCACCTACTAGAGCAGCTGGAGTATTAAATAAGGCAATGCATATGAAGTGCTTGTCATAGTGTTGACAGGAGGGGCTGCAGGGGCAGGGTGCAGGGGTGAGCTGGTGGGGGGGTGCCCCTGCAGCCTTTGGTCTGGCCCCTCAGTCTCAGCCTTCAGCAAGAAGCCACGGTCAGCGGAGGTGGTTGCAGGCAGCTCTGCTGTGTTCGAGGCGGAGACAGAGCGAGCAGGAGTGAAAGTGCGCTGGCAGAGGGAGGGCAGCGACATCGGCCCCAGTGGCAAGTACAGCCTGGAGACCGAGGGCAGACGGCACACACTGACGGTGCAGGACGTGGGCCCCGCAGACCAGGGGTCCTACGCAGTCATCGCTGGTTCCTCCAAGGTCAAGTTTGACCTGAAAGTCAGAGAGGCAGGTAAGCTCAGCCTGTCCCAGAGAGGCAGCCCAAGCCACCGCTTCATCTACCTGGGAGAAGAAGGAAAGTTGTGTTGTCTACCAGGAAGACTCTTTCCTCATTGTTCTGCATTGAGACCCCTCAGGAGTCCTTATGTGCCCTTCCTGGCCTGGCCCCAGGCACCCCACCCTCAGGAGACACAATAGGGGGATGTGAGCTGGAGGCCCTAGCCTGGGGGAGCAGGAGGCAAATAGAAACCAGAGTTGCTCAGGGCAGACCCCCAGGGATACAATGACGTGTCTGTGAGGGTGGGGAGAGGTGGGCTTCCTGGCTCAGTATGTGCTTCCTGTGAGAGGGGTGGGAAGTGTTGTTGTTATGTGTGGTTGTTAGGTACCATCAAGTGGATGTGGACTCAGTGACCCCAGGTGACAGAAGAACTTTGCCATCGGTTTCTTTACAGAAGAGGCCCTGGCAGTGTAGTGGGTTCAGTACTTGGTGGCCAAACAAAAGATCTTCATTTCAAAGCTGCCAGCTGATTCATGGGAGAAAGATGTGGCGGTCTGCTTCCGTAAAAGTTTCAGCCTGGGAAAGCCTAGGAGCAGTTCTCTGTCCTACAGGGTCCCTGTGAGTTGGAATCCACTCCAGGGCAATAGGCTGATTGGTTGAATCTTTACGGGAGCAGACCCCCATGTCCTTCTCTCACAGAGCTGCTGCATGGGTTCAAACCTTTCAGTTAGCAGTCAAGCGCTTAACCTTGGCACCACCATGGCACCTTAGGAGGAATAGGAAGGACCAGATCTGGTGGGAAGAAAAGCCACCTTCCAGGCAGTGGAAGGTGGTGGTCTGAGGTGGAAGAGGGTGTGTTTGTGTTCATGTTGTTGTTGTTGTTGTTAAGTGCTGTCAAGTCGGCTCTGACTCAGAGCGACCCTGTATAGGGTTTCCGAGGAGTGGCTGGTGAGCTTGAACCACCGACCTTGCAGTCCAAACCGGCCTTGTGGTCCAGTTTATGTTCATAGAGGTGGTAAAATGAGGGGACAGAGGGCCAAGGAGAGTGAGGTCTGGAGGAGCTAGGGACAGGTGGGCAGTCTCTCCTCACAGCCCCCTCTCCACTCCAGAGAAGATAGAACCAGCCCCTGCTTCTGCTGAAGCTCCAGAAGCCCCCGGAACCTCAGTCCCAGCCTCTGAGCTGGAAGGAAGCTCCCCACGTCCGGAAGGTGAGGGGGTCTAGGTAGGGAGGAAGGGGCCCGTGGGGAGGGGTCCCAGGACAGTGTTCAAACGTTTCTATTCTAAGGGTCAAACTCAGAAGTCCCGAATGGCCCTGCCCCTGGGTCTTCTGGAGTTCCCGATGACCCCATCGGTCTTTTTGTGACGCGGCCGCAGGATGGCGAGGTGACTGTGGGTGAGTGTGGGGCTGCTGTACTAGGGTAGGCGGGGTGGGGGGTAGCAGGGTATTCCACAATCCCAGCCGTCACCCCTCCTCTGCAGGCAGCAGCATCTCCTTCTCTGCCCGTGTGGCTGGGGCCAGCCTCCTGAAGCCACCTGTGGTCAAGTGGTTCAAGGGCAAGTGGGTGGATCTGAGCAGCAAGGTGGGCCAGCACCTGCAGCTCCATGACAGCTACGACCGAGCCAGCAAGGTGGGGGCCTGGAGGTACCGCGGGCGGGAAGAAGCACGTGGGAGGCACATGAGAACCCCTGGGAGACAACCAAGAGGTGCAAGCAAGGGTGGCACCAGGGAGGTACAAGGAAGCCAAGGCATCCAGGGGGCATGGTGAGGCTCAGGGCCAGGTCATGGGGGACTTGGAGGGTATGATAGTCTCAGGGGACATGCTGAAATTTGGGGTTCCAAGGAGTTCAAATAGGCTGGAGGGCACACTGAAAAATGAGGAGTAGGGCCTCCAGCCATAAGGGTATAAAACTCCTGTTTGAGTGGGTATCAGAGCTCAAGAGGCCCTCAATTCCTTATTATATAGACCTTGGGTGGCACAAACAGTTAAGCACTAGACTACTAACCAAAAGGTTGGTGGTTTGAACCTACCCAGAGACTCCACAGAAGACAGGCCTGTGATCTGCTTCCAAAAGGTCACAGCCTTGAAACCCCTTTGAAGCAATTCCGCTCTGCACACATGGGGTCCCTGTGAGTTGGGCTTGACTCCACAGCAATGAACTCTAACAACAACAAAGAGAAAACTCAAGCAAAGTCACCTGTCCAAGGCCACTGAGCCTAGAACTATGCATCTGACTCCCAGTTTCTGCCCCTCCGCATCTTGCACACTGGCTGGCAGGGCTGGACGGACACATTCAGCTGTGCGGGCAGTGCACTGCACAAAGGCACATTCTGAAGCAAACGGCCTATAGAGGGCACAGATGTGCATTGTAGTACCACCATGTTCCAGCAGATGGCAGACTTGTATATTGAGAAAGGGCCCCTTTCTCTAATTTATGCAAAGGTTCTGTGTGAATTAACAGTCCCCAAGGGTTGAGAGGAGAGAGTGGGACACTTCCAGTCTCCTTCAATGGTGAGGACTCTCATCTCCTAGACCAGCGTCTCCTCTGACACCTCCCTGCTTCGATCTCGTACCTCATCTCCACAGGTCTACCTGTTTGAGCTGCACATCACTGACGCCCAGGCCGCCTCTGCAGGTGGCTACCGCTGCGAGGTGTCCACCAAGGACAAGTTTGACAGCTGCAACTTCAACCTCACTGTCCATGGTGAGGGATTCAAACCCCCGGCCCTTGCTTCCATTTCCCAGCAGTAAAGAGCATGCCTAGCTAGCCCTGACCAGGAGTCCTTGAGTGGGACAGATGATTAATGGGCTCTGCTGCTATCTAAAGGTTTGAGGTTCAAGATCACCCAGAGGTGTCTCAGAAGGAAGGCATGACAATCTGTTTCCAAAACATCAGCCATTGAAAACCTTGTGGTACACAGTTCTACTCTGACACACATGGGGTTGTCATAAGTCAGAATCGACTTACAGGCAACTGCCCTTGGTAACCCTGGTCAGTTAGAGATGCTAGCTACATGTCTAACACTGCCAGGTTCCAGGATGGTTCGAAAGAAACCTGTGGGAACTTCACAGTGGGGGTGGGTGGTAGCTTACAGTTGAGTCCAGATCTTCTCTAGGCTGGAACTTTGTCTTGGTCATCATGGTCTCCCTGGCTCCTGAACGTTTGAACAGGTAGAGGCCGAGCAGAGAAAATGGAGTTTGGGAGACTGACTATCTGTTAGGGAATAGGGGACTCTGAGCTGCCCTGGCATTGGGAGAAGGCAGATGCCTACTCTTAATGGGTCACAGGTTGGCCGTCTTCGATACTCACATCCCAGGACCGTGCCCCCTCTGAAGCCCCCTCCCTTGTCTCCTTCCCCTTTCTGTACCCAGAGGCCATTGGCACTGGAGACCTGGACCTCCGATCAGCTTTCCGTCGCTCGTAAGTGGCTGATTTTCCTTATGGTCTGGTTTCGGGGGCATTGCTAGATTTGGAAGCCCCTTGGGACCAGGAATGGGGGTGATATATGAGGAGGGAGGAAAGCAAACTGCCCTGGACAGATGAGGACACTAAATCTACCTCCCACAGGAGCCTGACTGGAGGTGGTCGGCGGATCAGGTACCTTTTCCCTGTCCCCATCTGCCCCATACACAGTTCCCTGGGTTTGGAGATGGGCCGGGAGCTTCAGTTCAGCCAGTGTTCCTTCCCTTTCACTCCGTCCTGTCTGCTCCACTCACTGTATCCCCTCCACCGGGGACTCACTGGTGGTTTTGGGGGGGGGTGTCTTCTCTATAGTGACGGTCATGAGGATGCTGGGACTCTGGACTTCAGCTCCCTGCTAAAGAAGAGGTAAGTCCCTTGGTTGAGGCTCCTAGCAGGCTTGAAGCTTGGTTTCAAATCCCAACACTATGGTGCTCCTGCTGTGTGGCCTCAGGTGGATTGCTGTACCTCTCTGAGCTACTTTCCTGGTGTGTGAAATGGGCCAATTCCTGAGTTGGAACGAGTTAAATGCTCTGCAGTCCTGTGAATGACCACTTTCCCACTGTCCTCCCAACGACTCTGTGCATGGACTAGACTCCAGGCAGAGGTTCCCAAAGCCGAAGGAGTTGCCTACCTAGCCCAGTGCAGCTGACTGGTGTCCCTTCTTTCTCTTCTCTTGCCCTCTGCTCTGACCCCTTGCTTGCTGTCATGGATGCTGCCACCCCCAGAGAGTAAGAAACGGGTCCTGGGGGCTTTGGGGCAGCAGGGTGAGGGTGAGTGGCCTGTACCCATCCCTGCTAGGCTCTGAGAGATTCCACGAGCTCTGAGTGTCAAGTCTTTCCTGCCACCTGCCTGGCAGAACTTGTCATTGTTGGTAGCTGGGGAGTTGATTCCGGCTCAGGGAGGCCCTATGTGTGCAGAGTAGAAAACCCCATAGAGTTTCCACGGCTATGACCTTTCAGAAACAAATCGCTAGACCTGTCTTTCAAGGGGCCTGTGGGTGGGCTCGAACCTTCACCCTTTTGGCTAGTGGTGGAACCCTTAACTATTTACACTACCAGGGACTCCTGGGCAAGTTCACATTGCAGGCATACCACACCACAAATGGTGGGGGCATGAGCACTGGAGAGAGGATGGAGGGTGGGTCCCACACTTCTAATATGTCCCCTGACCTTTCTTCTCTTCCTCTGAGCAGCAGCTTCCGTATTCCCCGGTGAGTGCCTGAAGGATCCAGGTACCCCTAGTACCCCCGCTTCAGTCAGGAACCCCTCCCCAACTCCAGCTTCCTTTACTTAACCCTACACCCCCTTGGACTCAGACCCGGGACCCATGCTAAATTCAGTCTGTCCCAGTGGAGGGGTATGGGGACAGGGCAGAGGATGGGGCAGCTTTGGCTCCTGGACCCCAGGAAGCCCCACCCAGGGAAGTGGGGAGGACTCCCGTGAGGCCTCTCTGAATGCACCCTGACCCAGGGACACGAAGTTGGAGGCAGCAGCTGAGGAGGATGTGTGGGAGATTCTGCGGCAGGCACCTCCATCCGAGTATGAGCGCATCGCCTTCCAGCATGGGGTCACAGACCTGCGTGGCATGCTCAAGAGGCTGAAGGGCATGAAGCAGGATGAGAAGAAGAGCACAGGTTAACCTCCCCCCATGGTAAAGGAGAGGCACAGGTTAACCTCCCCCATGGTAAAGGAGAGGCACAGGTTAACCCCCCCCCCATGGTAAAGGAGAGGCACAGGTTAACCCCCCCACTACCATGGTAAAGGAGAGGCACAGGTTAACC